ATGATTGAAATGAATGAGTCATCGATCGCAGTAGCATCAGACTTTGGCGACTATGGATCACTCTGATTGGCTGATAGCGACTAAATAAGTGCATGGCATCAAACAAGAGTATTAGATAGTAAACAAAAGCAAAGCAACGGCAGAGAAAATGGCATTATCTAGTAAATTAAGAGCAGCAAAATGTTATGCTTTACATGGAGTTGTTCCTGCTTGATTGAGTGTGATGGGCATAGTTCAGGATATTTGTGAATTTTATTTCATGTAACCCTCACTGGTGGGTAGTGTGATAAACAAATACACAAGCAAGTACACACACATACATGCATGGCCACCCGTCACTGAGATGTTTTCTCAACTTGGCCGCCCTACTGAAAAGTATCTGGCCACAAATCTGATTGACACCGCTTTTTCAAAGGGAGCATTTTCAACACTTTAGTTTGATTAATACGCCACAAAAATAACAGACCCACATGGGGACAAATAGTATCAGTTTGTGAACAAAAATAAGATCTTGACTAAATTCGGTCGTCGGAGGTTTTGCCCTGACACCAGTGATATACTGCTGAGGCAGTAGCAAGTATAGATTTTTAATTTATCACGATAACGAGTGGGCTGCATGTTGAGCACAGACTGAAAAAAGCAAGTGCAAATTAAAAGTCCTCCACAAAGACAACACAGATGGGATTTTCCCTTTTAGAGTCAGCACTTCATCACAAAGTCACCAATTGACACTTTTCAATCACGGAGCAGATCCATGTATGTGGCACATGCAGCGGACACACAGCCAAACAGAAATATCGCAACATCCTCAGGCCATGAACTTCACCAAGCAATCAAATATGTGCTGCTGATGAGAAGGAAAAGCTGCGAACTAAAGCTAATCCGTTTATCTCGCAAACTCAATGCCGCTTTGCTTAGTTTTTGGTGTTGATAGTATTTTAGATCATGCAATCTGTCCCTTGCCTCTTTGCCCAATCGAACTACCAATTATATGGGCAGAAAAAAATTCTACTCATATTGCCCCGCTGTTAAGTCATAATGAGGAGGCAATTCAGAGTGTCGGTGCCAAAGGACATCCCAAATTTGACCTTGATTCCTTCTGCTCCTATATTTACTAACTGACTGAAAGAACAATACATAAAGGTTAGGTAAGTAGCTCCTTGGTTGATATAGGAGGGGGAGTGCTGTCTCACAACACGATCAAGGTAAAACAGGGGCAGGCGAGGAGCTGATTGGCTGTTATCATGGCAACTGAGAAAATAACTGTATAACAATGGCAAAGGAGCCAGGTGTTCGACTTGAAAGAAGAGGAGTAATTTACAATGCACGGGTGCCAGAGCTGCCTGGAGCTTCTTTAATCACACATTTCCATTCAGCGAGGTGTCTGCTGGTGCGATAGTTTCGAATGACAAAATAAAGAACAGTAAAATCCCGTGTCTTCAAAGGCTGTCAATGTAAGTTTGGCAAAAGGGCGTTTCAGGAGTCAGTTGGTTAACATAAAAAGAAAAAGACTGTCTGATGGGGCAGTCATGGAGCAGATTAGCTTATTCAAATAAGAGAGAATCAAAGCAGCACGCCAGGCTTCGGTTTGCGCTGTTCTGGTACTATCGTAATTTCCGGACTACAAAACGCTGCTGATTAAAAGCTGCAGCAGCTAAATTTAGCCATAAAAACTCATTTGTACTTAAATCGGCCTCTTCGGATCAACACCGCATTTGTAACAGGGGACATTTGCAAAGCAAGAGGTCACACAGATTCTTAGTTTTGTTTTGTTTTTTTTTTAAACTTTTGGTTACCTTAAAATTTGTTACGTGTTGGGGAATCACAGGGGCTGCACGGACTTATAAGTCCATGAGGGAATGTCGCTCCATGGCTGGACTTACTGTCCCCGTTGCCGACGATGGTCGGAGTCAGTCACCAAACAAACAACAGAGAGACGGAGTGGGAGGGTGTCACTCTGCAGAGATGGCTGTATTTATGGCACTCGCTCCCTATCATCATTAAACTCAACTTGAAATGCTTCTTTTTGCTCTAATTTATACTATATACTCTTTAAATTTGCTCCTAGGCAGCTTCCGCATTTCTCTCTCCCTCACCCATGCACACGCCAACCACAAATGGCTGATGAAAATTCAACAGGAGGGCTTACCCGCAGAGTTTTATTGGTCCACCGCGACGTGTTCAGTCATTTCATTGGCCACATGTAAGGAGAGCATGGATAAATCTAAAGGCGGCTTGAACCTCTTCAGTAAACATTTATCAATAAATCGTGTCACATTAAAAGCCGCAGGGTTCAAAAAGTGGAAAAGAATAGCAGTTTATAGCCTGGAAAATATACTGTAATGTCAATGCATTTCTTAATTTAATGCCTTGCTGATTTAATGTAATGGCCACAAAACAAAAACATTCCTGGCAGGCAATAAATGAAATTCAATATTTGTTAAACGAATAGCTCTCCACGAGATGTGGCATCAATGTATATTTGCAAGTAATACTTTTGCTGACTCAACACAAAATGGTGCCAGCACGAAGCTGACTCAGCCAAATGGCAAAAAAAAAAAAATCAAGGTACTAATTAGATCCTTTTGCTGTCTGTAAAAGACTTATCTCTCCCCACCATATCTTTTTTATCTTATCTGTCCATATCTACCGACTCCATCTCAAGGTGACTGCTGTCTGCCACCCACTTAAAAGGACCGCTATTGTCGGAGTGTGCAGAAAGAGCACTTCGTTTCACTTCAGGTGAACTTGTCCAAAATTACCTTGACAATGTGAGAGCTTTTTCCTCCAAAATCACCAAGTGAGCATCTGGCTTATTTTTACTGCGTGTGTTCATCTGAATTCACTGAATGGATCCAAAGTATCATTTTGTAACTGCGGGCTATCATGTCGACAAAAGCGGCCAAAATAATAGCTAACTAATATGAAGGAGCACAGCCGGCGTGTTCAAAAATCAGACAGTTGGTCGTGTTTGAACATAATCATTTGCGAATCAACGCCGCTACCAGCTGTGCGCAGGTCTTTTTCATCACTTTTATACTCGTTTGCAGTTCTCCAAGGTCTTGTTATGTTTGGAGTGCCTCAGGGAGTTCTGTTTTTAGCTCTGTGGAAAAGCGTCCAGACGATTTGGACTAGGTGGTTTGACTGCACGTTGACCCTTTAGTGAGCATCAATTTCAGCCACATATAGAAGAATGAAAGCAGTGGCCAATGAGGACCTGTTCGTAGGCTGAGGAAATACCATCTGCAGCTTTGTTTTTGGCTTCAGAGCTCTGGCTAATGCAACACCACAAACAGCATTTCAAATAGCCACGTTATCATCAATAAATTACCGTCGGCGAGTTCTACAAAGTGGTTTATTGTGATCTGAATATTCAACGGCCCCCTTACTCCCCGTGGCAGCATAAACACCTCCTTACTTTGATGGAAATATTTTTGAAATATGGATGAAAAAAGAAAACACAGGATTTCAGCCTTTTGTGTCAATACCATTACCGCAGAACTATGGGGACAGTATCTTTTTAAAAATGACCTTGAATTATTTTGTACCCATATAACTAAAGAGAAAAAAGGAGATATTCATGAAATGTAAAGTGCAAGTACTATTTTATCTAAGACACTCAGACAGTCAATGTCAAAAGTAGAATCCCTATTTTCCAGTACTATGATTAGCGTTTTCTCTCTCTCTCTCTCTCTCTCTCTCTCTCTCTCTTTCTCTCTCTCTGTGGATATGACACTTAAGTGGGGAAACAAGAAAATTCATGTAAAATGAATATTGTACTTTTATTTTTTGGGATTAATGGAGCTCATCAGCACATCTGTCCTGATCTTTAATTCATTAAATCAGAGTTATTATTGTAGAACCGTAGTGAAAAACATATTTTTGACACTTTTGGTCAAGGTGATATACTGTATCATGTTCCCGCTGTATGCTGTTGTTAAGGTTTCAACCTGCAGTGCAGAACTCAATCAAAAAAAGCCAGTCATGCAAGATGGGTGATTACTTTTTCCTACATTTATTCGTTATATGATTGGATTTTTTTTTCACTGCAAGCGAAACAAAGATGAAATCAAGGACGAAAGCAAGTTCAGCTTGACAACAATCTTCTTAGCATTCATATTGCTGAGGAAATTTCAATTCCCATTTACGTAAAATATGCTCACATTGTTATCTTATATGTTAAAGCCAGCCTCTACAAAATAAAAAGAAGAAACATATTAAGACAGGGATGCACACTTCTACTGCATAAGACAAAGATATATTAATACTGTTTGTATTTCAACAATTAGGAATGGGAATTTGACTAAATGTCCTGAATTAATTATTTGGTAAATAAATAACAAAGTAAATCAAAACACAAACAGTGTTTTTTAGACCAATTGGTCAAAACAACTATAAAATCTAGTGCATCCAGATGGGATGGAATTCCTTTCCATTGTGATTCATTGGTAAGCCTTTTATACACACGTACAAAAACAAAAACAAAAACAAAAAATGCAAAAAATTAACATTGCTCAGTGACGTAGCGGGAAAAAAGTAATTCTAGTAATGCGGCTCTTTCATCCTTATGTTGCGGCTCTGTGTGGCTTGGGAAAATAAATTATAAGTGTCCAGTTGAAGTGTATGTACAGAAATCCCTCATTTATCGCGATTAATTGGGACCAAAACCACCCGCGATAAACGAAAATCCGCGAAGTAGCGACCCCCCGTATAGGTACATGTCCATGTGTATGAGTCTAAAAATTATTTATAAGGCCAAATGTAATGGTATACATGCATGTAGAAGTAAATTCTGTCATAATTCACATTACTTAATGCTGTATACTAATAGATTTAAACATGTATAAGTTAGGTTAGTGTATGAATAACAAAATACAGTAAACATATACATGTAGTACTGTATATGTTGCTCTATGTGACTCGCTGTTGTTTTGCTGACTTTCGCTGCTTCTCCCGGACCGTTTGCGGACTTTTTGCGGACTTAATTTTTTTTTTTTTAGTGTTTGAAAAAATCCGCAATGCACTGAAGCCGCAATAAACGAACCGTGAAATAGCGGGGGATCACTGTAATTTGTCTCAAAACGTGTACAGTATCACTTCTGTTATGTTCCCTGACTGTACACTAGGTGGCAGTCTGGCAAGAAGAATACTGTACTGTTAAAATGAAAAAGTAAGGGGAGGAATTCAGCAATGCGACTATAGTGAGTTGTACGAACTAGTGAAAATACTGTTTAGTGTTTGGCTACACTCTGGCCTTGGTATTTTGCCTCCCAGCACGACAACTTCTTTCTTCAGACCTTGTGCAATTTCGGTGGTCAGTATTCACCCCTTTTCAGAGACGTTTGCGAGCACTTGACGTGTCAGCAGGCAGATTTGACAGGTGGCATGCATGGATAATTTTTCGTCGCTCAAAATAGGCGTCACACTCTCCGACAGCCCCGACAAAACACTGTACATTTATCGAGACTTTCAACCCCAGGTCGGCCAAAGAAAAGTAAAAGGAACATTTAATGATGCCTGGGCAGATTCATTTGCATTTGCATTACTTCTGACGAGAGCGGATTACCAGTACAGTATGACAAAAAAATTGGCCAACAATAAAAGGTCAAATGTAGAAAGACAATTCCAAAAATAAACATACAGAATTTGCTGAAAAATATCCAGAAGGGGAAGAGGGGGGAGGGGGGGAACAAAGCTGTTTCAGAACTGATGCGGAAGGCTGATCTGAGGAAAAATCAATTCAAGAAGTGGATGAAGTCTGCAAATTCAACTACCTATGCAAGTTTTGAGGCCGCTCGGGAAATAGATACGGGAAGCCATTCAGAGATAGAGAATATGTACGGAAGAGTCATTCATTTAGAGTTCATAAGCAACACACTATTTTACAAGTGTAAATATACGGTATATATATATATGATGTGAAAAATTGTTGTTTTCCGGCTCCTAGCGCTGTCTTTTCCATGGTGACCATCTCGAAATGGCTCTTTGAGTGTAAAAGGTTGTCGACCCCTGTTCGAGAACACGAGTGTTTATGTCAGGTTTTAAATCAAATGACACCATGTCACTGCTGGAATGTCAGCACATTCAAATATTTCTCTCGAAATTATAGGCCAAAGATTACATTCACTTGAGAGGGTAAGACCCTTGCACTTCAGCTTTAAAGCATTTTGATTGCACAGAACAAAGTGAGGAATAGCGCTGTGCCAAAGACTTGTCAGCACGCGGTGGCTCATAATAAAGTGCACTGCAGTTTTATGAACAGGCTTGGGTACAGTACATAGCGGATGGGAAATACTACAGAAAAGAATGTCAATATAATAAAAAGTATGAGTTTTGGCTGAGTTGGAGAGGGGGTGGGGGACTAATCCAAGCGCGGTATATTTCATCCATGATGATCAAGAAAAGCTGCTATGTACACTTGAAAACACATTGCAGACACGAGAGTGCGGCCTTGAACACCCCATGGGGAGCGATGCCTTCTGGGAAAGTGATTGACGGCTCTAAAGAGAGATATTCATAAATTGAAACATTGATGTGAAATGTTCTCTCGTGAGCTACGTACGCGAGAAACACTCGCAAACACACCTTTGAAACATGCTGCGTTTGTTTTGAGGAAACACACATTTATGAAGCATGCGTTCCCATCTGAAATAAGCATTTCCTTTTGACATTACGCCCGTAGGGAAGTAAACAGCAGGTTGGTGACACTTGCCAAGATATTTTTTTTCCCAACCCCAGAGATGTTTTTTAATGGTAGACAAAATATGTAAGTAAATGCTTCGATGGATCAGCGGAAGGCAAGTTGTTCAATAACTTCAGAAATTACATTCACGTCACTCATTATTTCCCTAACATTATTTTTAAGCTGTTCAAATTATTCATTTGGCTCAGTCTGAGCAAAGTTAACAATAACTGACAAATCTCACAATAATGTTGATTTAAAAATATGTGTATTCTATTTTTATATTTTAAAATGTTTTCTTTTTAATAATAATAATAAAAAAACATGCAGAGATTACTTTTTCAATATTTACATTTGGAGTTAGCAAAATCATTCAAACGCACTGCATTAGGGTACGGTCAAGTCCAAATTATTGCACTAAAGTTGCCTCACGGCTCAAGAAGCATGCTCCTTTCTTTCGCCAATAAAACAAGTTCCCACTGAACTCAAAATGGACAATATTTGGCCACCAATATCAGAAGAGTAATACTTAAATGGCTGAACTGGCTAGCACAACAGATTGGAGTCGAGATTATTTCTTGTCTTCATTTTTCAGTCTTCCCACCAACCAGAGGTGCATGACGCAGCGCACGATTTGACCAATTGAGTTGAATTTCTTGCTTTCCACTTAAGACTACAAAAGCACACTTGTGACATTGCTGTTCTTGCATTGATGAGAACTTGGAAATTGGCCGCATTAACGGAGCCCAGAATGCGTTGAGGACTACAAGGTCAAGCTAAGTAGACAAGCACAATTCATCAACTGATCCAAAGTCTGCCCACCTCACCTGATTATGCACATTTCCAACCGAGCTTCGACATGTGTTTGCAGGCAAATGTAATACAAGGCGAGCAATTTAAGCATCTGCAGTGTGCCGACTCCTGATGTGTCCTTTTCATGTTGCGACACAACTCATGTCCGCCCCCAGATTCGCCTTAAATACTGTGTTTGAAATCCCACCTCATTTAAGATGTTACCCATTGCTCTCTCGTCTATGTTATGCTGTGTTATAGTTGCTGTTGCTCGCAATGTCTTTCGATCACATGAGGACCGGGGTTCTCTCAAAACAAAGATAGGTTAATAAATACGTTCCCAATTAGTGCCATTGCTCATCAACTGTACAAATGTGCACATATTCATTGGCATATTATGGCATTGGTAGCAGTGAACTCAAGCTTCAGCTGTTAATTTGATTTGCCACTTGGATCTCGTTCGGCAAATTTTGGGTTGAAATTGTTCTTGAGAAAATGCAGATGCAGTCGCACGTTCACTCTTGAAAAACATTTTCAATCCAAAAGCGTGTTTCTAATCTATTTAATATGTTTGGCACGTCCTTCGTTTTTGTGCCAATAGAATTGTTTTGTCCTGAAAAGAAAATACATTTCTACCTGAGGACTTGCGTTTCAGTTTCATGAACGCAGCCCCAAAAATTCTTTGATTCAACGAACGTCGACTTCGAAGTCTGCTTTGACACTTGACTTTTAACAGGTTAGGAACAGACCCATGTCGCACCCATCAAAAAGGAACAAAGAGAAAATAATAACACAATAACTGCAGTGGCAGTGCCATATACGACCCTCTGAAAAGTGTTTTTAATGATTTGTTTTTTTGTTTTGTTTTTGTTGCAAAGAGGTCAGATGAGATGAATGCAATCAGAGTTCATGCTTTTGTCACTGTGCCTCTCCTGGTTGCTTAGAAACTTCACGGTGGCTGGTTCTGAAATAACTTCCACTTTTATTGGTACCCGTTGTAAAACCACAGCCATACTTCCGATATCAGACATCACAGTTGAAATTTACGCATCGAACGCAGACACTATTAATGACATTGGAACTCATTTCAATTAATTAGAAGGTAATTTACACTTTATGCTGATCCTTCATGTGGTTAGTCCTTTTACCATCGAGCTTACGTGCATGTATTAATGATCATTAACTTGTCAAGGAACGTGAAATTATGCACTGCCATCCTGTCCAAGCAAATTGATGATTTGCTGAGCCCAATTTATTCCTTCAGGCAGGCATTGATTACCGGTAAGTAAAAAGCTCAGCTCTGCGTAGTATTCTGAAATCATTTATTTGAATTTTTCGGTGTGACTTGGCTCACACATGTTGTCGTTTTTCTTTGACTTTCTCAGAAATTCACAGCTCCTCTCTCTTTCTCACAGACACCAAAGCGCACACACATATACAGACAGACACAAGGGGGATAAAACATTATCTTACGATTCAAATGTAAGTGCATCTTTGCCAAGAACACAGCAATCAAACAAAGCTGTTCCAGAAAGGAACAGGAAAAAAAAGCAAAAAAAAAAAAAAAACAAGCATTGTGGGAATGTCGTTGGCTGTCAAAGTAGGACAACATTACAATAGAAAGCTCAGTTGCTGTAAATGTAATTGTGAAGCTACAGCGCCTAAACTTTTCATACTTGTATCTCAAAATCAATGTGTGTTTGCAATGAAAGCGATATCGATATGAGAACAAACACCAAAAACTGGCTCAAATAAATAAACCTAGAGCATTCGCTGTATATGACATGCATAAAATTAAAGTTGTTCAGAGAAATAAGATGAATCAAAGCATTGCCAGTTTATTGATTATCCAGTGCTTCATCCTGGTGCAGAAGGAGTCTGCATGCATACTAACGGCTCTCAGCGACTGGGACCCAATCCAGGAGTGTTTTGGTCGCTTTAGCATGCCGTCACCATTGCAAGAGGATCTGTCTTTTATAATTGCTCCACACATCAGTCAAAAGGAGCGCCTATCCACATCTTGGTGACACAACATTTTCACAGTGGAAATTGTGTCACGGACCAGAGGATTACAGAGCTGTGTTTAAATCATTGTTTAGTTTTTGCTCTTCATGCTTTTGCACGTCTCTAGTCGACAGCTATAGCTGCAGTTGAATGTTGTGACAATTAAGGGTGGCCCACATCTAGATTATTGTGGATGTTGTCATCAAAGCCATGTTATCCTAGCCAAATGTAACTGCTAAAGCCACAACAGAAGTTTGGCTAATTAGATCCATTCATCCATTTTCTGATCCGCTTTATCCTCACAAGGGTCGCGAAGGATGCTGGAGCCGATCCCAGCTGTCTTCGGGCAGCAGGCGGGGGACACCCTGAACCGGGTGCCAGCCAATCGGGGGATACACAGAGACGAACAACCTTCTACGCTCACACTTACAGCTAGGGACAATTTTGAGTGTTCAGTCAGCCTGCCGTGCATGTTTTTGGAATGTGGGAGGAAACAGGAGTACCCGGAGAAAACCCACGAAGGCACGGGAGGAACATGCAAACTCCACACAGACAGGATCGAACCCACGACCTCTGCACTGTGAGGTCAACACACT